GTACAGCAATTTCGGACCGAAGCGCCGAGAATATTAATGGCTTCCTCCTCAGATTTCATTTTTGGGATCCGATCCGAAATGAACGATGTTCCTTCTCTTGAATAGTCACCATACTGACTCCTATGATACTAATCGCTGATTTTGAATCTGCCCTGTTTTTGAGCTCTAATGGTTGAATGATTGCGAATCATTAACTGGAATGGGTGGGGGGCTATTTTAAAGCGGTGTCCAATTTAAGATTGCTGTCTTCTGGGTTGTAGCGCCATTTTGTCTGGCAAACTTCTACCAGACGGCGATATAACCCAGAAGAGAGCCATCTTCGTATTCAACGCCGTGAGAACATCAAATTCTACACAGAGTTCCATCATTTGGCTAAAGGTAATAAGGAAATTCATTAACATTTGGTTACTAACTACTGCTACAAACGTCTCATTCACGATTCCTGACAAAACGTCTTCAAGGCTAGATGGAGGTGGAGACTTAATCGAGACCCTCGCACATCGCCACTACAGTGACCCATTTTTGAGACAGCGTATCAGTGCATTGCTGAACTTAATGAGGCCAACCACAGAAACCACCTCTCAGACAACCCACATCGAGAATCGATTTGCGGTCATGTAGTATATAGTAATCTAGGAAACGACTACGTTTACGCGACATAATTGTTTGAAACGAACTGACATAGTGAGCAAACAAGAATGACTGTTAAATTCTCAATATGAAATTGAGAGAAACAATGTGCCCAGGGAAATATTTGGTGTGAAGTGGAACATTTTGATAATTATACAACGAGAAACTTTTTGAATTATACAAGACATTTAGTGTTGTTAAGATACTACAATGCAGGACGTTAAGATGTAGACAAGTAGTTCGACTGGTAGCTTGAAGGCATGCGAATGTGACTGGGAAAATCTCTTGGAAAGAGTTAACCTGGAAGACAGAGACGGAGATGAGAGGCTAACATTTGAACAGACCTTAGGGAACTAGGTTGTAAGGTAGCTAGTTTGTCAATAAATTGGAGTATCAAGTTCCATTCAACATATAGGCTTAATTATCCATTTCTTATTATATACGGATTTACATAATGACGAAAGTAGTACTTCTCCAGTATTTCTGCTTTGTAACCTCAGCTACAATTCATTTCGACGACACGTATTAGACAAATACCCATCGATTCACACCCATAATTGTTCCCGTCATCGTCCAAAGATGATCTGACGAAAAAGTCCTTGCCTATTCTACTAACAAATCTCCGTTTGTCGACAGTAATCAGGGGAGGGGTAAAATGAGGAATACCTTTCTAAGGCACTTCGCATTGTCCAATCGATTACTACGTCTTACATATAGAAAACATTACAGAACCCTTCTAGAAGATTGCGTTATTCTTGCTTAAGTTTGGCAGAATATTACGACACTCAGGCAAGGCACTGAAGACTGCTAAAGGATCTTCGTTCCGCTGTTATGGCCGTCGCGTGATTAATCTATAATGCTCACTGCATGTCCAGTGATGGAACCTGAGTTACAGTTTTTCAGGTGTACATGGCAGATGGTCCAGGAGCCTTACAGAAGGAAAATTCATGACGAAAATACAAGACTGGTTTTAAATAACGCGCATTACTTTAGCACAACGTTTAACTCAATCACAATATTTATGTCTACAAACCTTACTTGGCCGTCGTTTTGTGTGCCATTTACACAGTAAATAGTTGTGAGACCGCAACTTAATCTCATCGTCCGTCCGTTCTCATGTTGAACGTTCAAGACCACGCAAAACATATTGATGAAACTATCATTGAAATGGGAAGGAGGGGGTTATATTGAGTGTCGTAAGAAATGGTATTTTATCCCGTGTCAGCCAAATACAAGCTCTACATTACATAAAGCTCAAATTAAACTTGATTAGTTTCCTCAAATTTGTTGAATCACACTAAAAATATAATAAAGAGTGTAAATATAAAATTGATTGACGTGTGTAACTTTTATTTGAAAAACCTTATTCGGAATGTATTTTTATCGAAATCCAATGAAAATAACGCATAACTGCACGCAGTTCCGTGTCTCTGTTACTAGATCTGTCAGAAGTAGGAATTATGAATACATGGAATGTGGTTTCTATACTATTGACAAACCATTCAATACAACATTGATCAGAATAATTGCAATGGAATATTTTGCGTGATGGATATTAAAATTCAACGGAAACCTACGATTATAATTTTAAAAATATAAATAGACAATGTGGGGTGATGTGTGAACTAACAAGGTTTTGTATTAAAAATTTGTCATCTAATACCATTCTGCTAAATCTCGCTCAACCATGTAAAAGAACTCGGAACATTGAATTAACTTACAAAATATATTAGAACACTAAAGAGAAGTTCGAGTGGTACATAGATTTGTAAAGGAAACTTAATTTGTGAAATATATTGTTCAAAAGTTAACATCCGGTAGAAAGGAACTGATGTGTAATTTGCGACGAGAAGCAGAGAACATTTGGCTGAAGGCTGTTTATTGCTTGAAGAAATTGGCTACAGTGGAGCTGTGCGGAAGAAGAGATTCGTTTTCCTTTTATTTTCTTAGATTGACACAATTTCTCGGGCACAGACTATGTTTCGGCTTGTTTGAACGGAGGCGTCAGAATACTGTTGTGGCCTAAAGTGCACCTCGTTACGAAGTCATCTATCTTCTTTTGAGAAGATTGTGTCGTTCTAATCCATCGCTGTGTTCTGGAAGAGTCCATTTACAGATTTCTGCTACATTACTTGGTTTCAGACAGTCGAAGGCAGCAACTGAAGAAATATGGGCTTACCCTATACACTATGCAACAAGCGCAACAAGTGTGGGCAGATGCACTCCAACTTGGAGTGCATACATTTTGCAAAGGCGCTACTTTATATTTTACAGAACACGTAATAGATATATAAGCGATTTTCCGGATAAAAAACAGATATTGCAAAATTGACGATAGGGTACATTCATATATTACATTTCACTCAAATATTTATCATATCTAATAATACTTAAAGTAAAAATATACCTTGGTTATAGCTAAGTTCTCTTAAACACCTTTTAGAAAATGCTGGTATATCACATTAAAATTGATTACAAGAACTTTCTTCAAAAGTTTCTCTAGCTAACAATTTTCAATCTTACTTGTATTCGCTCTCCAAAACAAACATAAAGTTGAGAAAACGCAGTTAAATAAACCACGAAACAAGAAAGAGTACAGATGATGGCATAGTTCCTAATCCTTCTCACTTTATCCTTGATAACAGACGCAGTATCATCCTCCGAAACGTGGGTTCACAGCATGAACACTACACAAGGCCTCAAACCGTGCTGGGTTGGGAGTCGGAGTTCCCAAAGTCTCACGCACAAACCTCGACGCAGTTCGTTTCTATTTATCCCTAATGAGCGATTAGGGTTGCCTAGGAACTCAGGGGTAGTCCCGCTTTCCAGTACTGTTACTTTACTCAGGCAATTGTTAATCCACGTGGAGTTCAGAGTCACAGTACACAAGAGACAAAACGGTAGAGTACTGGTTTCGAATACTAGAAACACACACCTTTAAAGAGACAATGCTATCTTCGTTCATGCACAGTCCTATTCGAGTGTAAGGTCCAAGATCTGACTGTCTATAAGCATTCCTCGAGCAATGGGTGAGGTCCACAGTGCATCATATACGCTGTGCGGTGCGTATAAGAAGCCTTGCCAAATAGCGGCATGTCTTTCTAAATCCCCGCGCACATTTACAAGGCTCTGTGTTGTCATGGAGACATATAATCGAAGCATCTACTTATAAAGACCATAACAACAGAAGGGGGACATTTTTTAATCAGCTGAATCTTAATTCTGTTTATAATCCTATGATCACAGCTGCATAATATGTGATTCTTCTTCTTCTTGAACTCGTATTAATTTGGCTTATTAAGCATGCGATTCTCATATGAGATAAACAGTTTAATTCCGTCCATCAGGTGGTTATATATTTATCACGAACTTCAATCATAATCTCATCATGAGACATGATACAGTTTCATGTGTACGCCCATCATAGCTACTCAGGCTGATTACACCAGTTGAAGAGGAAAGCTGTTCGTGATTGAAATATTAGAATCACATTAAATGATCTTGCAGCCAACAAGAATACGATAAAGTAGCATTAGTTTTCTCCCCTTACAATTAAAAATTCTTAAAACTGCCCTCATTCCGTAACTGGCACAAACAATTAGATAACCAGAAAAACAGACAAGATACAAAATATGTATTTTGGAAATATGTTTCCCAACTTGTCGTTCGCATTTCCTTTCTTGTTCTCATGCACCGTGAGAAATTTCCTAGGCTTTCTGAGATAAATTCCAATCCCAATTCTTATCAGTTTGGAAGAGGGATACATTTATTATGCATAATTTTTTCCGGACACGCTATGCATGCACTATACACCGTTTATGTTGTCTACAGATTGCGCTGTAGATGTAGATACGGATAAACCTTGCTTTACTTTAGTATTATTGCATATCTCAGGACTCCATCGTGAACTACGTGGCCAGATAAATGGATTAATGTCAACTGTGTATGAAATTCCATTTTTCCTCAGACCACATAATAAATTAACATTTATGTTCCGTATCTAAACACTAACAGCATGTACGTTTGTAACGTAATGCCTGCCCTTGGAATTAAACTACCACGTTTCAAACATAACGAGAATAATTATTTATTTTTTAATTCAGTCGCTGACTTTTAAAGCATCATCAGCTACCGTCCTATCTGATACAGTTCTGAGCCTCATGCCAACTATAGATTATGGCTAACGTGTTTAGAGTACTAAAGAAAAGTACTCTTACTGTAATTCGGATAGTCGATTCTCCTTTTACTTCACGGTACAGTTTTGTTAATATGCCAGGACAACGTGATGCACTGCGTTAATTTATATATTTAAGAACGAGAGAGGTTTAAAATGTTTATATTCTAATATGAAAGTCTGGTGTATTCCCTACCTGCACCACATGTCCTTCGTCCTTTAGGTGATGTCCGTGGAAGGCTTGAAGTCCTGAAAGTGAAACAGAAACACTTAATACTTTGTCGACATTACCAACAACTGAAATGCTTGGTAATTCAGTACTAAGCATTACCAGGTAAACACCCGTAAACATTCTTTCATACGAATCCGTCAGTAACTTTAAACTTACAAAAAACCATCTGATAGATTTGTATGACATTATTAAGCGATATATTTGAAAATGTTCACAATAATAATAAGATTCCCAGAAACTCATCATTAAAAAGTTTGTTTCAACGATAGCCAGAAATATGAACATCACATCACATCCGCCAAGCAGGATAATTTTATTAAGAAAGATTTTAGAGTCTCACGGCCACGAGAATGAAGATGGCTGTCTCCCAAAACACATTTACTGTCGTATCCAGAATTTTATTAATTTGCCAAACTCATGTAATAAAGGAAACGAATAAGATTTTATGATTGGCGTCGGGCTTACCACATGTCCAAAGAGCCTTATCAACTGCCTAAACGGATTAGATTAGCAAGTCTGGTTAGATGTTACATATGGTAGACAAGTGTCATTGAGCCAGGTTATTCTCCGAGTCCTTAGGTCTTCCGCTGTCAGTATCATTCCACCGATAGCCCATATTCATGCACGTATCACCTGAGGAATGGACAGTGGGCCCATTACCTGCTGCAGTTCCACATAGACATAGTCTAACTTTCTCGTGACAATTGAGTAGATGTTGTGTAACGTCGAGTGTGATAGGCAGTTGATCGTGAGTGGTGAGTAGGTGAGAATGTAGAAGAAGGTGGTAGGTACTATTTCAACATTCATTCACAGTGACTGAGGAAAACCACGAACCACATAATCAGGGTAGCCAGTATACGTAACTGAACCGGCTGTGATATAGAAGCTCTTAAAGGAAAATATGGATTCCATGTTGCTTCTGGTACTTACCACAGTTAACAAGATTTTGTTTCTGAAGAGCACTGAGAAGTCCAAGTAATAATTAATTTAATATTATAGTGTTTAAATACGGGATTATAAACTCGTAACTGCTATAATTATAGTTCGCAACGTCAAAGCTGAAGTCTTGTGATGTTCGAAGTAACGCCGGTAACTATTAATGAAACTTAATTTCATAACATCCATTGACTTTGTGTACGGATATCAATCGATTGGATCACATCATGTGCAAAATCAATCAACAAATGTTTTATAACGTGTTATAGCATATACAATTGGTTTGTTACACTTATTACTATATTTACAATAAACGCGAGCAAAAAGGTTATCAAATATTTAAATAACTTCCATTTCATCTGTCGTCACAATTTTGCACTAGTGAATAATTATTTTCGAAATGTCTGGGGCCAATATCATAACCACAAAAACAGAAAAGCACGTATACATTCACAGATAGAAACTAAAAGCATCTTCTGTATATTTGAAAGATACTCGGTTCGACTATTGGCCCGGAAGCTGGCTAAACTGAGATTTATTCTAATTTGTCTCAATCCCGAACAACGGATTAAGAGGAAATGAGATACTGGGGTCTGACTTTAAAGTTGTCTGATTAGTTTTATTTTGGTCCAGTGAGTTCACCGATCGTCGATGCATTCTGGAGGTACACGGTTCGTATGCAAAACAAGTAAATTTTAATACAAGTTCTGCAAGTAATAACAATTTACATCGCTATGTAGTTCAACGCTTCCGTGTCTATTGGCTATATGAACAATGGAATTTGAAATAATGTGCAATATTTGTGTAGGTGTTATGCAGACGATTAGATATGTCAACGTTAAATGTACAGGTTGTCTGTAATAAATGAATATCAAGAACAACACTGGTTCGAAAATCGCAAACAAATAATCTGGGCACCCCTCAAGCCTTGCTTTCCATTCGGTGACTTTGCATCTGACTTCAATTGTCATGCAGTAGGCCTAATAGAAATTTTAAATGAATTGGCACACTCCCAAACGAAATAGAAAAGAGGTTTCTCAGAATTTTTTCGCGTGGACACTATTGTTTCGTTCAATGTAAGAAATGAAAGTGATTTAATTGAAGCAAATGAAAGTGAAACTACTTTTATAATATCTTGAATGATTTTCGTTCCGTTTCTTGTGGCACGTCCTAAATAAATAAGCCTATGTATTAAAACTAACAAATTTACTCCAAGCGAGAACCGAAGAATACAGTTTCTAATCTACTGAAATCACTAGCTGTGATGACTAGTTATAGTTAACATTAAATGGTAAATTCCATCACGTATTAGACTACGAATAGTCCTGAAAATACAGACCTATAAAGCTAATACAATCAGTACAGCAGAAAATTTAAGACTGACAATATCACGTAAATTGTAATACGCTGGAGTGATTAACGTTAATAGTAATTAGTAGTAACACAGAGTTTCAGCGGTAGGATATCTTAGATGAGAAATCAGTTCAAAACAATTACTCTATCTCATGTACTCCATGGGGCAGAATCCTTTATTACTTTATAGGGGCTCAGTTGGAAACCTGAAGAATCATTACCGTGTTCACAAAAGCCCGCCGTCGGACCCTATCCTGATCCAGAATGCAGTTCACATTCTTTCATGGTCTTAAGTGTCTCGATTGGTCTATTAACTTGAGCTTTTCCAATTAATTCTCGTGTCACTCGTGTTAAAACCTACAATGCTTCATTATTCGGAATTCTAAAACGCACGTACATGTTTACTTGATCCCTAGACGGCAGAATGTTCCATTTGTCCCCCACGTTATGCAACAAACAATAATATGCTCTATCGCCAATCACGTTGAGCCACTAACACAAGTCAGCATGCGACCGAGGCAACTTTTCGGCCAGCGTCACACTTTCTAGCCTTTAGACCAAGATTTGTAATTGCAGCACAGTTACAAGAACTAAGTTTCCTTGGCACCTTGCGGTTTCTGAAAATCATATTCCCTCTGTCTATCTGTATATAACAGGATTCTTATGTAAGCGTGCAACAACATGGCACATAATCCTGAAGTGTGGGCTTTCGTTCGTTCGGACTAAGAACCGTAACGATTATCTCGTCACTGAGGCACTACAGTAGAATGTAAAGTTAATACACGCCATTTGTTAATACCTATTTCTCTATACAGTATTTCAGAACACTAAACCGGAATAGAACAATTTTAAAATACATAAAATACAGGCCTTCCTAACTGCCTGATTGATTACATACGTCGTAGTGGAAACAGAAGATTGAAAACTGCTGTTGTAGTTGCCAGGTGTTTTATTACGTTTTGAGTCAACAGAGTCCAGTCCACATCACATCTTTACAAAGTTAATATTAATATTGCCCGTTCACCTCGCCTCTGCATTCAAAGCGATAGCTTTCAAAGACATCAAGAAACTGACACATCATTTTGAGTCAGTTATTATGCCTCAAACCCACATATTTAATTTACATATCATTAGTATCCTCATACCTTCCTCTCGACATTCCAAGAAAAGTCCTTCAAAAAAGTATTCTATATCATATCTGTTCATGCTCATTCGTCATATGGGCTACATGTCCATCACATCTCAGTTTCCTAATACAGGAAATGTATCAATACGAGGAGGAGAAGTGCATGATTTACGAAGTTCTTCCTTTAAACTTCATGTATTTTCCTCACTTACGTAGTTATCGTTAAATGCAAACAAATCTATGTTCCTGAGAACCTTCTTTGCTGTCGAATTTACACATAAATTGTTTCATAAATATTAATAAACACTCTTAGTACATAAATTAAAATCCGTTTATCTTGAGGCTATTTAATGTTACGCAGCCATCATGAACCTTGTTTTTGTCAAATAAATTTACGTAAGCAAAGGTAAATTTGTTTCTGCACCTAAGCACAACGTCGTTTTGTTTTTGTCAAATAAATTTACGTAAGTAAAGGTAAATTTGTTTCTGAACCTCAGCACAACGTCGTGGAGACGCAAAAGGGGGCATAAGGGCAAACTTTGCCGCGTTACAGACTCCACCACTCAATGGAAGTGAGTGGTCAGCTTCACGTTCATACTGCTTTACTTCTGTTAAAAGATCCGTGGCTTTTCTTGCGAGGAACCGAATCCTGATCGTCAGGACCGTAACCATTCACTTCAATGGCTGAACCATTCTGGCCCAAAGAAATGTTAAGAAACGAACTTAAATATGGCGTGAGACATCCCTGGGTTCTTAGGTTTCCTGCCGTCTTCTTTAATTAGAACAAACAGAAAGTTCCTTTCTTTAGAAATCCGAGTAGTCAGTCACTTTACGTGGGTCGATGTTCACAAGAGGTCATCCGCTGCTGGAAAGAAGCAGCCTGTCTATATACCAGGAGCACTGAGGCATGGGAGAAGTGCCTAATGGAGCATCACGCCACATAGACAAAGAAAGAATTTTTCTGCGGTCATGTTTTCGTTTGTTTTGCGAAAGATCTCCATTATATAACGCTCTAGTTTTCGATATTTGCTCAGATAGCATGACACGAAATTCATCTTTTGTTATGTCACTTCTAGGTTAGGTTTCCAAGAAACAATTTCCCGTTAACGGCATGAACCTAGTGGCAAACATCTGACATCAATATCCAGAATGAAATAAAAAGGATGGATCGAGCGGGTTAGTAACTGGTACAGCATCTGACTCGCATTCCAAAGATAACCTGCTCGAATCCCAAGCAGAAACTGTACATAATGACTTACCTTCATCGTGGTTTATTATTTCTACCAGAAAAATGGCATGATGATACCATAAAACAGTCGACGACCACTTCTACATGTTTATGGATTATTAATATTAATCAAGTCATAAAATAGTCAAAATGAGATAGGTAGATTGCAATGCATAACGAGTTGCTACGTAGTTTGTAATCTCCACCAAATATTACAAGAGTAATAACAATTAAGAGATGGGTGGAGCATGTAGCACGCGTGATGCGAAATCCGTGCAATATTTTACAAAAGAATCCTAAGGGAGGAGACTATTCGGAAAACCAAAACCCAAATGGAAGGATTATATTAAAATGGATGTTAAACACATCTGGAA